CCAAGGTGAGCAGCCTCTAGTTGATAGAACAATGTAGGTAAGTGAAGTCGGCAAAATAGTTTCTTAACTTCGGGAAAAGGATTGGCTCTAAGGGTTGGGTCTGTCTGGCTAGGACTTGAAGCGCGAGGACTCGGCGTGGGCTGACGGAGATGCGTGGCTTGCTGGGCGTCGAAGTCGGACTGCGAAGGGACTTCGGGTGGATTGACTCAGCTGTGACCGTCAGGTCGATTCAGCAGGCGATTAACAAACAACTGAGAACTGGAACGGACAAGGGGAATCCGACTGTTTAATTAAAACAAAGCATTGCGATGGCTGGTGACTGGTGTTGACGCAATGTGATTTCTGCCCTGTGCTCTGAATGTCAAAGTGAAGTAATTCATCCAAGCGCGGGTAAACGGCGGGAGTAACTATGACTTTCCTATTCCAACACCTGCTGGCATAAGACGTCCTGACCTGCTGGTCTGGAATTGCAATGGCACTTGCTTTGTGGTCGATGTCACTGTGTCAGCCGATAACGCGGACCTGGAGGATGTGCACTCGAGGAAAGTTAGCTACTAATAATGAGCATGTCCGCAACTGGGTGCAGGGAGTGAGCGGAGCAGCGGAGGTAAACTTCTCCTCGATTAGTTTTAATTGGAGGGGTGCCATCGCTAAACCGTCTTACAACCTTTTATCTGATAAGTTTGGGTTTAATATGTTTGAAATAGAGATACTTAGTGTTATAGTGATGGAGAAGGGCTATAAAATTTGGCTGGACTTCAAGAAAGGAACTTACAGATCGGAGACAACAAATTGGGATGAGGCTTTGAGTTTGGAGGAATGAACTGGAGACAAATCGGACTGAAAGAATACATATATTGAGACACTTATTTAACGCTAAACTCTACTTATAATATTTGTGAATAGAAATCATATAAACAATTCTACAGCTGCATATGTATATATATTTTTTTATATTGTGTATAATTATTTAATTGTGAGGGCTGCAATCTCATGCCCAAATGTACATTTATCTATTGAAGAATTTATTAAATGTATTTAATAGCCAAATGCCTCGTCATCTAATTAGTGACGCGCATTAATGAGATTCCCACTGTCACTATTTATTATCTAGCGAAACCACAGTTAAGGGAACGGGCTTGGCAGCAACAGCGGGGAAAAAAGACCCTGTTGAGCTTGACTCTAGTCTGACTCTGTGAAAAAACATGAGAGGTGTAGAATAAGTGGAAGGAGCAATCAGCCGGTGAAATACCACTACTCTTATCATTTTTTACTTATTCGGTTAAGCGGAGCTGGACCTCAACGTCCACTTTTTAGCATTAAGATCGCTCTTCTGCCGGTTGATCCGAGCCAAAGACACTGTCAGGTTGGGAGTTTGGCTGGGGCGGCATGACTGTCAAATGATAACGCAAGTGTCCTATGGTGAGCTCAATGAGAACGGAAATCTCATGTAGAGCAAAAGGGCAAAAGCTCACTTGATTTTGATTTTCAGTATGAATACAAACTGTGAAAGCATGGCCTGTCGATCCCTTAGTCTTCACGAGTTTTAAGCTAGGGGTGTCAGAAAAGTTACCACAGGGATAACTGGCTTGTGGCAGCCAAGCGTTCATAGCGACGTTGCTTTTTGATTCTTCGATGTCGGCTCTTCCTATCATTGCGAAGCAGAATTCACCAAGCGTCGGATTGTTCACCCGCCAATAGGGAACGTGAGCTGGGTTTAGACCGTCGTGAGACAGGTTAGTTTTACCCTACTGTTGAATGGTTGTTGCAATAGTAATTCTGCTCAGTACGAGAGGAACCGCAGATTCAGACAAATAGCTCATGCACTTGCCTGAAAAGACAATGGTGCGAAGCTACCATCTGTTGGATTATGATTGAACGCCTCTAAATGAGAATCCGTGCTAGAACGCGACGATTCCTTTTCTCTGGACAACTTAAGCGAACACGAATAGAGACGCGATCATTCGCGCCTCCTGCGTCACAACGTGCCCACGGAGCGGACAATGCTCCAAAGCACTGCAACGATCAAAATCTAAATTTTCCAGAGCTAAATCATTTGCAGATGACTTAAATATAAGAACGGGGTATTGTAAGCAGTAGAGTAGCCTTGTTGCTACGATCTGCTGAGATTAAGCCCTTGTTCTACGATTTGTTTCTTTTTTTTCCGACACTCACACATCCTCGGAGCAGTCGAACATATCCGCAAAAAAGCCAACAACTCGAGGTCTCCCGAACATGTTCAGGAGAAGGGGGAGCATATCGATGTCTCTCGAACATAACCGGCAGAAGAGGCAAACAACTATAGGTCTCTCGAACATGTTCGGAAAAGTCGCACTTTCGAACCGTACTAAGATGAGAGGAAAACGAGTTCTCTTGAACATGTTAAAAAAGTGGCGATTTAGATCGCTACCAAGAGGCGAAGGAATCGAGGTCTTCCAAACATGCCAAGTCAAAGTGCCAAGTCAACCCGCACTAAGAGGGGAAGAACTCGATGTCTCCGGAACATGTTCGACAAAGTGCCCAGTCAACCCGCACTAAGAGGGGAACAACTCGATGTCTCCCGAACATGTTCGACAAAGTGCCCAGTCAACCCGCACTAAGAGGGGACAACTCGAGGTCTCCCAACATGTTCGACAAAGTGCCCAGTCAACCCGCACTAAGAGGGGAAAAACTCGATGTCTCCCGAACATGTTCGACAAAGTGCCCAGTCAACCCGCACTAATACAGGGCTTTTTTGTAGTCTTGTAATTGGAATGAGTACAATCATTACAACAAACCAAGCCGCATTGGTTTTTAATCTGATATAAGGAAAAAATTGCTATTTTGGACAATTGGTTTCAAATGTTTTGACCTGATTAAAATGAACTGCTGGTCTAATATTCTGTTGTATTCTTTGCCAATCTCGCCTGAACATTGTTACTGAACTTCAAGTTCAGCCAATAAATATTAAAGAATTTAGCTTTCAAAATCTGACATCTCATATAAGGGAAAAATTGCTTTTTTGTACAACTGGTTTCAAATTTTTTGACCTTAATGAAATGAACTGCTGGTCTAATATTCTGTTGTATCCTTTGCCAATCCCTTCTGAACATTCTTACTGAATTTCAAGTTCAGCAAATCAATATTAAAGAATTTACCTTTCGAAATCTGACATATCATATAAGGGAAAAATTGCTATTTTCGACAATTGGTTTCAACTTGTATGACCTGAATAAAATGAACTCCTGGTCTAATATTCTGTTGTATCCTTTGCCAATCTCTTCTGAACATTCTTACTGAATTTCAAGTTCAGCAAATCAATAATAAAGAATTAAGCTTTCAAAATCTGACATCTCATATAAGGGAAAAATTGGTTTTTGGACAACTGGTTTCAAATTTTTTGACTTGAATGAAATGAAGTGCTGGTCTAATATTCTGTTGTATCCTTTGCAAATCCTTTTTGAAGATTCTTACTGAATTTCAAGTTAAGCAATTCAATATTAAAGAATTTATCTTTCAAAATCTGACATCTCATATAAGAGAAAAATTGCTATTTTAGACAATGGTTTTCAAATTTTTTGAACTGAATGAAATGAACTGCTGGTCTAATATTCTGTTGTGTCCTTTGCCATTCCCTTCTGAACATTCTTACTGAATTTCAAGTTCAGCAAATCAATATTAAAGAATTTATCTTTCAAAATCTGACATCTCATATAAGGGAAAAATTGCTATTTTAGACAATGGTTTTCAAATTTTTTGAACTGAATAAAATGAACTGCTGGTCTAATATTCTGTTGTATCCTTTGCCAATCTCTTCGAAACATTCGTACTCAATTTAAAGTTGAGCAAATCAATATTAAAGAATTTAGCTTTCAAAATCTGATATCTCATATCAGGGAAAAATTGCAATTTTTTAACAATTGTGAAATTTTTTGACCTGATTGAAATGAACTGCTGGTCTAATATTCTGTTGTATCCTTTCCCAATCCCTTATGAACATTGTTACTTGAATTTCAAGTTCAGCAAATCAATATTAAAGAATTTAGCTTTCAAAATCTGACATCTCATATAAGGGAAAAATTACTTTTTTGTACAACTTGTTTCAAATGTTTTGACCAGAATGAAATGAACTGCTGGTCTAATATTCTGTTGTATCCTTTGCCATTCCCTTCTGAACATTCTTACTGAATTTCAAGTTCAGCAAATCAATATTAAAGAATTTAGCTTTCAAAATCTGACATCATATACGGGAAAAATTGCTTTTTTGAACAACTGGATTCAAATTTTTTGACCTTAAGAAAAATGAACTGCTGGTCTAATATTCTGTTGTATCCTTTGCCATTCCCTTCTGAACATTCTTACTGAATTTCAAGTTCAGCAAATCAATATTAAAAGAATTTATCTTTCACAATCTGACATGTCATATAAGGGAAAAACTGCTAATTTGGACAATTGGTTTCAAATATTTTGACCTGATTGAAATGAACTGCTGGTCTAATATTCTGTTGTATCCTTTGCCAATCTCTTCTGAACATTGTTACTGAATTTCAAGTTCAGCAAATCAATATTAAAGAATTTATCTTTCAAAATCTGACATCTCATATAAGGGAAAAATTACTTTTTGGACAACTGGTTTCAATTTTTTTGACCTGAATGAAATGAACTGCTGGTCTAATATTATGTTATATTTTTTGCCATTCCCTTCTGAACATTCTTACTGAATTTCAAGTTCAGCAAATTAATATTAAAGAATTTATTTTTCACAATCTGACATCTCATATAAGGGAAAAACTGCTATTTTCGACAATTGGTTTAAATTTTTTTTGACCTGATTGAAATGAACTGCTAGTCTAATATTCTGTTGTGTCTATTGCCAATCCCTTTTGAACATTCTTACTGAATTTCAAGTTCAGCAAATCAATATTAAAGAATTTATCTTTCAAAATCTGACATCTCATATAAGGGAAAAATTGCTATTTTAGACAATGGTTTTCAAATTTTTTGAACTGAATAAAATGAACTGCTGGTCTAATATTCTGTTGTAGCCTTTGCCAATAATTTTTGAACATTCTTACTGAATCTCAAGTTCAGCAAATCAATATTAAAGAATTTATCTTTAAAATCTGACATCTCATACCAGGGAAAAAATTGCTATTTTAGACCATGGTTTTTCAAATTTTTGAACTGAATAAATGAACTGCTGGTCTAATATTCTGTTGTATCCTTTGCCAATCTCTGCTGCACATTCTTACTGAATTTCAAGTTCAGCAAATCAATATTAAAGAATTTAGCTTTCAATGTCTGACATCTCATATAGAAGGAAAAATTGCTTTTTTGTACAACTGGTTTCAAATTTTTTGACCTTAAGAAAATGAACTGCTGGTCTAATATTCTGTTGTGTCCTTTGCCAATCCCTTCTGAACATTGTTACTGAATTTCAAGTTCAGCAAATCAATATTAAAGAATTTAGCTTTCAATGTCTGACATCTCATATAAGGGAAAAATTGCTATTTTAGACAATAGTTTTCAAATTGTTTGAACTAAATGAAATAAACTACTGGTGTAAAATTCTGTTGTGTCTTTTGCCAATCCGTTCTGAACATTGTTACTGAATTTCAAGTTCAGCAAATCAATATTAAAGAATTTATCTTTCAAAATCTGATATCTCATATAAGGGAAAAATTGCAATTTTGAACAATTGTTTTGAAATTTTTTGACCTGATTGAAATGAACTGCTGGTCTAATATTCTGTTGTATCCTTTGCCAATCTCTTCGAAACATTCGTACTGAATTTCAAGTTCAGCAAATCAATATTAAAGAATTTAGCTTTCAAAATCTGATATCTCTTATAAGGGAAAAATTGCAATTTTTTAACAATTGTTTTGAAATTTTTGACCTGATTGAAATGAACTGCTGGTCTAATATTCTGTTGTATCCTTCCCAATCCCTTATGAACATTCTTACTTGAATTTAAGTTCAGAAATACAATATTAAAGAATTTAGCTTTCAAAATCTGAATCTCATATAAGGGAAAAATTGCTTTTTTGTACAACTGGTTTCAAATTTTTTGACCAGAATGAAATGAACTGCTGGTCTAATATTCTGTTGTATCCTTTGCTAATCCCTTGTGAACATTCTTACTGAATTTCAAGTTCAGCAAATAAATATTAAAGAATTTAGCTTTCAAAATCTCACATCTCATGTAAGGGAAAAATTGCTTTTTGTACAACTGGTTTCAAATTTTTGACTAAGAAATGAACTGCTGGTCTAATATTCTGTTGTTCCTTTGCCAATCCCTTCTGAACATTCTTACTGAGTTTTCAAGTTCAGCAAATCATATATTAAAGAATTTATCTTTCAAAAATCCGACATCTCATATAAAAGAAAAAATTGCTATTTTGGACGATTGGTTTCAAACATTTGACCTGATTGAAAATGAACTGCTTCTAATATTCTGTTGTATCCTTTGCCAATCTCTTCTGAACATTTTACTGAATTTCAAGTTCAGCAAAATCAATATTAAAGAATTTATCTTTCAAAATCCGACATCTCAATATAACGGAAAAATTGCTATTTTGGACAATGGTTTCAAATATTTTTGACATGATTGAAATGAACTGCTGGTCTAATATTCTGTTGTATCCTTTGCCATCTCTTCTGAACATTGTTACTGAAT